CAGCCAATATTTCTGTTGATAGTCATGTCAATGTTTGATAAAGAAACAGCTTTTATGAGAAGATGGTATTATTTCTCTGAGCGCCCTGCTGCAGCACTGCAGAGTGTCACTGTGAAAATCATTATGAATAAGATTATGTCCTCACATTTATCTTTGCAGGCACATAGATAACCCACTCCTAATTATCCACATTCTGTTTATATTTTGAGGAAAATGGGAAGACCTATTTCCATGGTGATTTATGACACAATTTGGGAAAATGTTATTTATTTTGCCATTAATCTTAGTTGAATGCTCTTAGAAAGACAAAATGATGAGGTGTATAATATACGTCAAGTCAAATATAAACAATTTGGAGACTATCCTTAAATAGAAAAATGTATTCACTGGCTGCCTTCCAATGAAGGCCCCTGGCTGGCCACCACCGCCCCTTCCACACGGGTTGTCTATTTCACGGGGTCACACACCTCTTAGCGCTTACCCAGTGCAGCCCTCTCCCCTTCATCTGAAGGAACATGGCACTCACTCTCAGTTTAAGACTCAAGACTTTCTTCCTTCACGATATGGGCAGCCCTGAGCAACCGTGTGAGAATCCTGCCTACCTGGTGGAGAGACCTGTGGAGTCCCCAGCTGAGCCCAGCCCCAACCTCCCCACCAGTGAACACAGTCACAGGAGCACCTTGCCACTCCTGTCCAAAGCCTAGCTGAATTGTAGAACCTTTAGGATATCAAATGATTGTTGTTTTAAATCATTTAGTCTCGGGATGGTTTATATATAGTTGTTGGCAAATAGAACACTAATTTTTCTTGAATTTTATGGAGTTCTATGTAAGGTTTCTGAGGCAATTGCCTCACAATCCCATTTGCCACACCAGCTTATGCTCTTAGTTTCTAACCAGTCAGGGTTGTCAGATACAGTTGTATGGGTCGCACACTGCATCAACACACCCTGCCACGGGAGCCATGGGGAACACTTGCCTGGTCTTTGCCTAGAGAGGGCACATTTTCTAAATCATTTGAATATTCTTTCTGTGCCCCCACATCATGACTCAGAGTACTGGGTTGAATCAGATCTTAAATTGCTGACCTGGCCTTCAAGGCCTCCTTTAACTGGCTGATGTCCCCTTCTCCCCTCCAGCTTTCTCCAGACCAGCCTCCCACTATCATCTCCAATCTTGGATCAATGGCATCACTGTAACCCCTACCTTCAGATGCACCCATTCGGCCTTTGACTCAGCAGCAGTTCCCAAACGGGGCCTGTGCCCTCTCAGGGAGGGACAAACTCGTGTACTGAGGCACCAGGACATTTTTCATCTTGTAAATGTCAAAGGATCTAATGTAAGTTTACAAACACATTTTTTTGGGATTTCCAAGCATGTTAAATTAAGGGACAGAGAGGCGACTGTCGTTCCATTTTTGGACTTCTTATGTGGAGGGCAAACCCAGGGGCATTACGCTCCCACCAGAGGGCTTTGCTTCCCTGGCCACAGGCACCCGCACAACATCTGATCCAGGGAAGCCTATCTCCAGGGAAAATTCTTTTCCTCACAATTCATAGCACAATCAGAAAGTAAAATGTTCCAATATCCCAGGCAAATGGACCATCATGACATGGGATCCACGTTGTCGAACTTTGTAATCTTACCCTTCGTTAAATATTCAACACAGACGATCTGATCTCTTCCTTTTCTCAGCTCCCCCTTCTTCCTCTGCCTGCCCTTCCCCCTCATTCTTCTCCATTTTACCTGCCTTCTGGGAAAGACTGACTCAGAGGTACTTTCCAGACTGGAACACAGACAAGGGGATTTCTAGATATTAGACAAATGTTCATACTCTTTTCTTTGACTTGGGCTCTTTATGGAAGTGCAGGTGCAGCCCAGCAGGATAGAAGCAGCAACTCCCTGGAGACATAGGCCCCACCGCCGCAGCTCTCCCCGGGGCTCCTGCAGCGTCACAGCAGCTCTGCTGTGTGATTGTGTCTCGGGACTTCGTGCGGGAAGGGGTGGATGGTGGCCACACGCCCACTCTACAGGTGGGCTGTCAGGACAGCTGGCATCTCAGAACAGCTCAACTTTATTCAGCACTGAGGCTGCACTCGTGAGTTTTGAGCTGGAGGTTATTAAGCCTGGTGCCTCTGATTTTCACAGATCTTGAAGGATGAGAGGAGAGGCCTAGATGCAAACTATACGTGTGGGATAACAGTTTGGCACTGCATGCTGCTGGGAGCTGCAAAATAGAAGCAGTAGTAATCTAATATTATATTATCATAAATGTTACAATTGCTACCTTTGATTGAGCAAATATGACATGTTAAATGCTCTATGTCACCCCATTTAATTATTGCAGCAACCTATGAAATAAGTAATATCTACTCATGAAGGTGAGGGCACCAAAGACAGACTTTGCTAATCTTGTAGGTGGCAGACCTGTGACTCAAACCCCATGTGGAGCTCAGGAAAAATCCAAATGGAGCTCATGCTTACATTTTTTCCAGCCACCTTGCCCTGCCCACCAGGCCATGAGCACCTCATACAGCAGCAAGAGGAGCACATAGGAGCAGAGAGAAGTTCCATCACCTTCCTCTACACCTCCTGCCCCACTGCCACTGCCAGGCATCATCGCAGAGCAGATCCTCTGAACTGCTCACCATCACCCTGAATTCTGCTCTTGAGTTTTATAAGGCAAGGTTTTCTGTATTGAGTCACCTGAAAAGATTCTCTAGGATCCTGGTCAAATCTCAAAGATCCTGACATTACACAAAGGGCAGGTTTGGCAGGTGCAGAATGAAAAGCTCAACCCAAGAGCAGCCGGCTCCTTCCTGGTACACATGGGCCAGCACAGGGATGGGGCTGGGGTGGGGGGTGAAGATGCCGACCCTTCTCCTTTCCCCACCTAAGTATTTGCCTGGTATTCTCCATGATGCAAGGAAAGAATCAGGTCTGGTTGCCTAATTTGGGATTTGACAGCATTTGGAGAACCCTCAAAATGTAGTTTTTAAGACCACAAGGTGATTTTACCCTCATTTCTTGTAGCTGAGGCAATAAGAACACTTAAATACAGTATAGAGACAGTTGCCATTTGGAATGAATTTTCTTGAGCTGAGATGAAGCATTTTGTAGGGAGAAAGAATTTCTCCCTGGACTCTCTCAATGGTGGCTCAGAGGTCCCAGGGGCCGGGCTGGAGGTGAGAGGCAGCTGACTTGTAGCTGCTGCTGAATGTCCTGTTCATTAATATTCACGAAATGATGTGAAGTTGATGTCACTCTAAGCTTCTCTCAATTTTCTTCATAAGCTCAGGGAGAATCCAAGGAGGCATGACTAGAGAAGAGAATATATATATATAGTTTTATTCTCTTGGTGATCGAGAAGTTAGTTTCTTGTGACATCTGGATATGATCTGGATTAGACTTCATTTATCTTTTAAGCTTTTTCTAAATCCATGTATCATTATAATTATCACTATAAAACCACTGGCACAAGCTACTGAGAAAGGTTTTGTGGCTATAGCTCCTGGATTCCTCTAGGTAGGAATTCTGTCAGCACTTGTCCGTCCTGAGTGCTTGAAACCAGGGGAACAGGTTAGATAGAGACCCAGAGCCTGTGATCTGCTCATCCTAAGGAAACCATAGGGATTCAGAACATTGTATGTGGTGAACATGCTTCATCAAGCTAAAGCGTTCTGCAACTGGGAAGTGTAAGTGGTGCTGGACACGCAGGGCTCTCTCTCCACAGTGCCTGGGAGGATGCACACTTAGAAGGTGTGCTTGACAATACTGATGCAAGGTCCGTTTTATTGTTATTCATAATAAGCTTTGTTATTATTCTAGAACACGATATAAATACTTTAAATTTTTTCTATCACACACCTCTGAATAGCTAATCAAACCTCAAACCCTTTCTCAAAACAAAGTGCAGCCAAACAAACCATGCTAAACATACATCCAATAACATTTTACAGTTTTGGGGGGTTCATAATCTCCTCTAACACCCATCCAGCTTAAGAGATGCCTGTCCTGGAGATGTATAGGCTTCAGCTCTCTGAAGTCTGGGGAAGAAATAGACTGAGTAGAAAATGAATGTGATAATGATGTTTAGCTTTCTCCTGAGAAAAATCCTAGAGGGACCATCCCTGAGGTCCTAGTACATTCTAATGATGATCTTGGAAAAGCTGGTGTCTACCTATAACTAGTCTACTTAAGTTAAGATGTGCTCAAGCTGCAGACTGTGCTGGCCCTGGCTATGAGGCTACCCCTCATTCTACTGGGCCTTGCTCAGAAAGTTGTGGTCGCGACACCTGAATCCTCCTGTCTCCACAAAAGGCTGCTATCTGGTGTCGGCCGTGAGGTCTCCTTACAGCAGGGCGAGGCGTTTCCAGGACGCGCGTGCCTGCTCAGAGCCCAGCTTATAGGCACCTGCCAGCAGCCCTGGTTGTGTCCACCCGGGTCCATCCTGGGCAACTGAATTTTACCTTAAGCAACACACTGGTTTTGGCTGAGTGGTGTCCTTGCCAAGTAGGATTTTATTTTGGATACAAGGAGTTCAGGGCTAAGGCCAGATCAGTCAAGATGGAAAAATGAAAAATCCACACCAAGATCAAGTCAACCCCGGGGAGACTGCAGCCAGAAATGGAAATGAAAAGGAAAGAAAACAACCAGCAGAAAGAGCATTTGCATACTTTCCCCATCCAGCTAGGGTCTTCGATGGAGCAGCACTGAAGATAATCGCACAAGCAGGGCTTAAGGCCATCAGGGTGCTTGCTTTTAAGCTCACAGCTCATGGCCTTCTAGCACCAGTAGAAGGTAGTTTATGCATCTTGGTTATTGGATGTAAATGTCCCCCCAGAAGCCATGCTCCTGTCCCCACCCTGACCAGCTCCTCCTCACTGGGATTGCAGAGACCAGAGACCTCCTGGGAGGCAAGTGACAGGAGGCCTGGATGTTGGTTCCCCAACCCCCAGTTAGATCAGGTGGCACAGCACAGGCAGAGAGAAACCCAGCACCATGTTCAGAAAGATCCACTCCATCTTTCACTCCAGCCCGCAGAGGAAGGCGGAGGTGGCCGAGAGCCCCTATTATGACAGAGCCAGCTCTGGGGTGAGGCTGATTCGCAGCAGCTCCATGTATGTGGTTGGGGACCACGGGGAGAAATTCAGCGAGTCCTTGAAGAAGTACAAGAGCACCAGCAGCATGGACACCAGCCTGTGCTACCTGCAGCAGGAGGGGGACCGGGCGTGGATGTACTCGCGCACCCAGAACTGCCTGCAGTACTTGCAGGAGCTGCTGGCCTTGCGGAAGAAGTACCTCAGCAGCCTCAATGACCTGAAGGCCAGACGTGCCCAGGGCACTTCCTCCACCTCCTCCAAATCCTCCAAGGGGGGAAAGAAGACCCTTGTGCAGTCTGCCTCCACAGAAATAAAGGTAAGTGCTGCTGATAAGTTCAGTTTAGATGAGTTCTTCCAGATGTCTCCACGGATGCCTGTTTGAACCCTGGCTTAGCCCCATCCATGCCAGCTTAGCTCATCTGTGCATTCTGGGCAGTCGCTCAGTCCTCCTCTGAGACTCTCCATTGCCTTCTTCCTGCCGGGGAGATGTTGCTTTTCCACGTGGAAGCAATGGGACAGGTTTCTAGAGAGCACCCTGGGGTTGCAGTAGTGGGTGGCTGAGGCTTTGGTGTCAGAGGGCACTGAATTTGCACTGTGCATTTGTCATTTGCTACCTACCTGATGAATGAGATCATGCATGTTATTGTTTATCAACAAATAATTTATCAATAAATTATTGTTTTTTTTAATTTTTATAATCACATCTAAAAATCTCAGTAAAAACTGAAATCTTCATGTGAACTAGATGTTTTCAAATACCTAAGGGTTTAGCCCCATGTGAGTGAAACAACCAGGGGGTTTCCTCCAGCTGTACCTGGGACCAAGGCATTATACTTGGGCACAGCCGTGTAAGCGTCTGTCCTCAAAGGAGACGGCACACCTGCTTTGCTGGCCATGGAAACTTCCAAGCCCAGGCAAACAGGCAGGAGAGAGAATTTGCATTTATACCGTGGCAGTGTCTGTACACATTTCTTCCCATGGGCATTCAAGTTGCACCAGAAGGGAAGGTGGGAGGGCCTCTTCCTGAGGGGCGGTGACCAATTAGTTATCCCGAGTTTTGAGACTGTATTTCCTACTTCCGTGAATCTATTTCCTGATGACTGGACTCAAAGGCGTGCAGAGCAGTCCTGTACCCCCCAGAGTGTCTGCAGGCCGTGGAAGCCCCACCAAACCTGCCCCCGTGTTGCCTGCTATCCCTATGGGTTGGCCTCACCCGGTTGGTGTCAAGTGTCTGCATCTTATCCTACAAGAGAGCAGCTTAAATAATCGTTTTAACCCCAAATGCCTGTCAGCACTGGGCCGGTGTGAAGGCAGACCCTGTGACCAGCAGCTGTAGACGTGTGGGCAGTCAGCCCTCCCTCGGGGCCACCTCCATAGCAGAGATGATGGGGTGAGGGGCACAGCAGCTTCTGCTGTTCCTTCCAGGTCAAGTGTCCTGGGGTACTGGGCTCTGGAGCGATACCCTCTAGACACCATAATTTCCGCTACAGTGGAGTTCTCTCTTAGTAGAATTTACATTCCGTCCCCCTACTTCCTTCCTTGCTCAACTGTCTAAACAAGGTGAGAAGGTGGGTTAGAGCCCAAGCCACCAGCACTGGGATAAAGGGTTTCCCGGGGACTGCGGGGGTTTTGGGGAGGGTCGCCCCATGATGCAATGCACTGACAGCCTCAGGAGAGTCTTGTGCCCATGGTAGAACCAGGAGAGTCTTAAAAAGGTTTTGAAGTCAACAAGACCAAGGGCCGACTTTTAATTCTGTATTGACCAGCTGTGTGCCTTTGTCAAGTTGTTAACTTCTTTGGGTCTTTATTTCAGTAGCATACAAATGAGAGTAAGACTATACCTGGTGACGGAGAAGCAAGGTTCCCCCGTGACAGGACCTTGAAGCACTCACAATGGAGTTAAGCGTTCTCTGGCTCTGAACTGGAAGGTGCACGGGCAGTCTTCAGACAAGCTGCTCTCCATCCCCATTGCTCCTGAAGAGCTATGTGGGTGTGCCTGGAGATGTGGGTTCAGACGCTAGACAGCAAGGTGGCCAATGGCTGCCTGGTTCTCTGGCACAGCAGGGGCCTCTTCCTTCTAGAATGTCATCACTCTCCTGTGTTGGTAGGAAATGCTTAGTGGTGATTAAGATCTAGGATAAATGCCATTTCCCGACTCCCTGTTATGAATCAACTTGTATTTCCCCAAAATATGTTGAAGACCTGACCCTCAGCACCTCAGAACGTGAGCTTATTTGGAAATAGGGTCATTGCAGAGGTAATTAGTTAAGATGAGGTTATTAGGGTGGGCCCTAATCCCCTGCCCCTGGTGCCCTTACGCAAGAAGAGGAAGTTGGCACACAGGCAGGCCGGTAGGAAGAATGATGGGTGAAGATTGGGGTGGTGCTGCCACAGGAGCTACCAGAAGCTGGGAGAGGGCAAGGAACAGATCCTTCCCTCATGCTCTGGGGGGCACAGCTCCACCAGCACCTTGATCTCAGATTTCTAGCCTCAGAACTACGAGACAGTAAATTTCTATTGTTCCAAGATGCCCAGTTTGTGGTAATTTGTTATGGGAGCCCTAGGAAATAAACACACCCCTCTCTTCAAGGTTAAACACATCTCTCTTTAACAGTATCACATCATCTAGGGTTTGTTAAGATGCATCTTCCTGATGGACTGCAGTGCCCTCGGGGACCTTAAAGAAGCCAAAACAGTACCTTTTTAAAACACCAGTAGCTTTTCTATGTGAACACTTTTTGATCGTTTGTGGCTGTTTCATAAACTTTGAAGTCTGATGCCTTTTGTGCCACAGAACTGGGGAGACCTGGCTGCCATGGAGCGGTGCTCCCTGGGCACTTGGTGAGCCTCTCAACCTCTCCATAATCACCAGCCCCTGGCCTGGCCACAGAACTCACGTTCCCATGTTTGTCTCTGTCTTGGGGGAGGATAATGGCTTTTAATCTATTTTGTTTAAGGCCCACAGTAAAAAAAAAAATCTATATTTTAGATACGGACCTGGTTTATCTGAACACACACCCAAAACAAAAATTTCATGAAATATCCTTATGCCTATTCCTTTTGGTGTTCTGATATTTTCAAAAGTATTCTATTCTATTATTGTTATTATTTATTGTTTATTCTGTCATTATTAAAGTTGGTCATGACACACTACATTTATTTCACAAACCACTACTGGGGCAAGACACACAGCCAGGGCCTCCCCTGGTGGCGCAGTGGTTGAGCGCTGGGCTGCGAAGCTGCATGCAGTCTCTGCAACGCCAGTTCGAGGGTCCCACATGGCGCAGACCTCTGCTGCCGCCCGCTGCTCCCCTCAATGGTGTATTTCAGTACATCTGCCTCTTCAGCTCCCTGCGCTGGCTCTGGTGATTTCTCTCACCCTTCCACGCTTCTGATTGTACCCAGTGCATGTATAAATAAATAAATAAATCTTTAAAAAAAAAAAATACACATAGCCAAAGAAAAATGATGTTTTCTTCTTTGTCAAATTTAAAAAAAAAATTGGGCCACTAAACGACACATTGAATAAAATGAACAAATCACAAACTACAAAAAAAAATTTAAAATACATCAAATACGTATATATGAAAGGATTTCTATCCAGGACATATGAAAAGCTGCTATTATCAACAACAGGCAAGTGAGCCAGTAAATGTAAGAAAAGTAAGAAAAACCTGAACAAACATCAAGGTAGATACAACTGGGCAATAAACACATAAAAAGATGATCAATAACATCTGCTATCAGAGATACTGCTTCATACCCACTGTTAGTGAGAATGAAGTGCTGCTGGAACTTTTAATACTGGTGGTGAATTATTGAGCAATTTCTTATAAAGAAAAAACATTTACTCTATGATCTAGCAACTCCACTCCTTGTTCTTTATCTGATAGAATAAAAACATTTTCACAAACAGACTTGCACAGAAATTTTCAAAGCAGTATTATCTGCAATAGTAGATAATAGAAACAAATTAGGAACAACTTAAATGTCTGGGCCTCTCTGGTGGCCTAGGGGTTAAGTCTCAGCACTATCAGGCAGTAATTTCAAAAATATTATTGTAAGTGAATGGAGAATTTACAGAGTATATGCTGTATGATTCTATTCAGATAAAGTTCAAGAACAGACCAAACTAGCCCACCATGCTAGAAATAAGAAGGTGGTTGTCTGGGTGGTGGGGAGGACACGAACAGTGGGGTTGTGGATTGGAATTGACTTGAAAGGACCATGGGGGAATAGTTTGGCTATGAGATTCAATGTCTTATTTAAGGTGGACATTGTACAGGGTGTGTACAATTGTCAAAACTCACTGGAGTGAACACTTAAGATCTGTGCATTTTATTGTATATAAATTGAACCTAAACTTAAAAAAAATGGAAAACTGGGAGAGAAAATATCAGAAAATCAAGACCACTCCAAAGAATATGTAGCTCATACAACTAATTTGGCAGCTATAGATGAACTTTAAATTTGGTTCTTCACTTGCTGGAAGCAGTAATAAAAATGATCCAGACTCATTTCAATGTTCTGACTATCTGAGAAAAGAATCATACCTGTTGCTTAGGGGAAGTGAGTTTCTATCCCCACCCCCTTTAAATTAAAAAATTCTCCTATGAGACTTGATACTGGGAACTGTGTATTATATGGTTGGTTACATCCTCAAAAACAATAATAATAATGATTCATTAACAGTTATATCCTTTCTTCCTTTATCCCTTCATCCACTAGCTTATATTTATGACGTACATATGGTGAATCAAGAGCGCCTCTAGATACCAGTAAGCAAGTCGAAGGCCCTGTCCTCATAGTGGTCACTCGGTGGGAGGGTGAGGCAAGAAAACATTGCATGGATTTCTGGAGATGTTGAGAGCCCCTGCTCCAACAGGCAAAGGTACAGCCTTGCTCCACATCTCAGTGAGGACCAGGAAATACATGCCCGCCGGTTCCTTCTGAGCTCAGAGAACATTCATATACCAGGGCCATAAATGGACCACACAACTTTCCAAAGATCTTTGTCAATATTCTCTAAAGACACAGCTCACCCTATGAAAGAAAAATGTCTAAGAAGAGCGAAAGCTATCCTGTTAGATTTCTTGCTATTTTCCTTCATCTCAGCATCTTAGAAAGCAAATGCCCCCTCTGCAATCTGTCCTAGGGGCTTGTCTAGGATGTGCAGTCTCCCCTCACGTTGTCCCTTGGTGATTTCTGTAAGCTGCTGGGAGGAGCTCTGGGTCACTTCACTTCTCTCTTTTCAGTCCTCACAAACATCACTTCTCTCAGCTTGACTTTTTTTTTTAAGTAAAAACTTTAATCACA